TGAAGGATTTGAAGAGCTAAGGGCGCTTCACCAGGAGCCTCTAACATCTCATTAGTTATCAGAAGCCGTCTGGCCTAAAAGAACAATAGCATTACAACTAATAGTAAGGGAAAGCAAGTATCATCGATGTATAGACAATGGTAAAAGAGATTAAAATTATTTAAACAAAGAAACTATATTATTTTCGCCAATATCTTAAAAAAAACATTAAATAGTAGTTGAAAACGGTTAGCGGAACACCGCTTCATTTGATCATCGGACTCGAATAGTACGCTCCAAGGTTCGATTTGAACAACTGGTCCACTGCACCAAAGATATTCAGCACTTATCAATCAATATTAGTAAATCAATCAACATATTTTTCCTAATGATTGAAAAACCATGAGCCAATGCAATCTTACGCAGATGAGAGTAGCTAAGCAGTAAGTGTAAGATAGGGAAAAAAATTTATATCAGAAGAACTCCGAATGAGGCATTTACTCTAGGTAAAAAGAACCCAACGAAAACTAGTAGAAATTAATGGAATCTTCAATAATTCTTTCGAAAGAAATATGAGAGACAGATCAAGTAGCATTGGAAACAATCCGGAAGTTAAATAATATTACTAGGCAAAGTTTAAAAAAATTTCGCACCAGGCATACAAGCAGCTTAACATTTACTGGAGATCTGATCTGAAAGTGGGCTCAGAACCGGTTTTTCCATAGGATCACCTTGAAGCTCAGCATTCAATAAACGATTTCTTAGCATATTCACAACACAATATTAAAACTAGTTACTACTTCTGTGATGCCTCAAGTAGTAAACAAACGATCGTAAATCCTGAGACGCCTAAATTGTGCTAAATTATCATTCCGACGTATCCTATGAGTAACTGAATATATATGTTCAAAATAGGCAAAGGAGATCTGGCTCTGGGGATCTAATGCACGTAGATCTAACCGAAAGGTTCAAAAACAAAAAAGGACAACGACACTCCATATATCAGATGCAAGACAAGTTACTAAATTCTTATTAATTCAAGAGCAAGGAACCAATTTTGTATTTCTTTTCATAGTAGAAAAACATGGGAAAGTTTGGTCACAGTTAAGTAACACTTTTAGAAAGATATCTTTGATGAACACTAGCAATAAACAATACACTCCTGAAAGTTGCAACTAAGAGCGTTTACGATATGTTAATTAAAAGGCTTTAAAATGTGGGAATAGTAAATACGAACTCAAAACAGTCTATAGCCTGCAAAAGTGCATGTCATAGGAGAAATTAGAAACAAAACTATGTGGTGAACATAATTAAGCTCTTACCACATCTGAAAGGTCCTACAAAAGGTATTGAGAGTGTTAAGTAAAAATACGATGGTTAAAAATAGTACACTTTTGGTAATAAGAGAAGGAAGACGAAATATATCTTGGTGTTAGTTTATTACAACTGGAAGAAACCAACAGAAACAATTAGTAAGGAGCCCATGAGATAAGTTAGAAAGTGCGTTTAGAGGGGACATTTTGAGAAACGTCCGAGATTTCAATTATTTCACTTTTGAGTGCTTACAAACGGAATTATGGGAAACATGAGAATTCAAGATAAACACCTTTTAAAGCAATTCACTATCTAAGTGACAAAACGTCTTCTATAAAAAGAAAAGGCAGAACTTGATCTACGACAGTAAAAACACATCCAGTCATGGAAAACTGTGCTTTTGTATTTAGGTTTAAAAACATAACATGATTTATTGGCCACGGAGATTCAACTCTTAAAAGCTGCCGAGAGAAGATGACCACAAAAAAAAGCTAAATTAAAGCGATATCCCCAATCCAACGACATTATCTGAAAAGAAGTAAAATCGATTTTTAAAGCACCTATTGTAGATAGAATAAATGACTTATGATTGTCGATTTAGAGAACAGGCGATTGACATTCAGCACTGCATACTCAATTTTGAGGATAGGCAACAAAACAACAATAAAAAAGGTAGTACAGAGGTTGGATTCAGTAAAAGTCACTTTAAACAAATCAATTGAAGTAAGCACTTTCCTTAATAATTTTCAAAAAAACTATTTAATTCTTCGGTTATAACGCAGTGAGAACTACCTGAGTTCGCCATATCAGACTGGATGAATCAGATTAACGTAAGCGCGATCCACGTGAGAAAAATGGCAAACCAAAATAGTTAAATCTGACCAAATCTTATCAAGGAGGATCTAAAAGTGAGTCTTAAAGGCCTACCTAACTGAACATCCGAATTATAGTTTCAAAACTTCTTCACAAATTAATTTGTTAAGTCGATTTATGTTTCCTAATAAGAAGAGACATAACGAGCAAAAAAGAAGATTTAAAAATTAGAAGTAAATAAGACAATAAATTTTAACCATGTGCAAATAGGAACCGTAAATAGCCAGAAAGGTTACAAAAAATATACACTAAATCAATTTATAAGGCAAATCAAAAATTAAAAGCTGAAACATCAGTCGACAGTGCGACCAGGACACAGTTGCCTATTACATAACAAATGCAAAATCTAAAGAGCAGTTAAATTACATAATTTTTTATATGAGAATGATGAAATCAGAGAAACCAGCGTCGCTACTATGGGATTGGCATTTGAGACTGATAAAATTTAATAAAAATCAATATTAAAATGTAAAATAATGACAAATTTGAAACAATTGAGAGAGGATATTTTAATAAAAAGAACAACGTAGAGCCAAAAATTTAAATTGTATTAATATAAGAGGACTTAACACAATATTCAGATAAAAACCATACCTTTGAGTCAACATCCCCAATGTCGATTCCCCCTTGAGCACAGAAAAGAACAAAATCGCCCGCCTTATGCGTGTACATACATAGGTAATGTTCTTCATTCTTGTATAGAAAATAAAAGAAAATAAAGGAAGTATAGTAAAATCGGTACCAAAAAGAACTGCACTTACTGGAGTATGGGGAACAAACGGTTCAATTAAAAATCGCTTAAAAGTGTCCGTTTTTGACCCAATCTACGGAAAACAAAATAAATACAAAAAACCAATTAACGTATTGAGTGATAAACACAAGAATTACCTTCAAAGGCTTATTGATCCGATCACAAATCCACTTTTTAACTTCGTCAAAATTTGCATTGCAAATAATAAGTCCCAATTTACCGCGTCTTTTAACAAGTTGATCCACTTTGCAAACCAACTTATTCGTCCCCAAAATCGGATTACTAGTTAAAGCACTATCCAGTTCACTTTGCGATGTAATAAGAACGGAAAAATCCGTAAATTCCCATCTCAAGGCATTCTTAATTATCTGCTTAGCAGAGTACTCATAGACTGACTTGATCGACATCTACACAGTCAGAGCAGCCACAAGCTAATTTGAGTTATCTACAATTGGTAACCTTGATTCTGCATCGCTTGAAAGAAAATTACTAGTTATTCGACGTTTAAAAGGTATTATTATAAAAAATTGTAACACTTAAGCATAAACTTCAAAAATATTTATTTAAAACTTATTTGGAAGAGGTAAGCTGGATTAAACAAAGATGTTTGACAAAAATTATATTTTTTCGTGAATTTTTATTGCAGTGCTAAAATATAATCACTAAGGAAATTTTATTAATTTTATTGTTTAGCCTATAAACAATAATGACCCGGGTTATTTGCTATCAGATTTAGCCATTTTTCGCTTATTTTGCGCAAAATGTCTGGCAGAGGGAAAGCCAGGAAGCCCGCCGGTGGTAAAAAGCACACGAAATCAGCAAGAGCCGGTTTGGTAATGCCCGTTGGGCGTGTTCACCGTTACCTCAAAATGGGTAGGTATGCTCGCCGAACATCAACTGCGGCTTCCGTGTATTTGTCAGCAGTCATCGAATATCTTGTTGCTGAAGTGAACGAACTATCCGGTAACGCTGCTAAGGCAAACAAAAGGTATGCTTGTGTCGAGATCTTTTTATGCCTTTCCTAATATGGGGTTTATTCTATTAACTGTTTCATCATAGGAAAACTATTACTCCCCGTCACATAATGTTAGGCGTTAGAAATGACGCTGAATTGAATGAACTGTTGAAAAATGTTCATATTTCCCATGGTGGTGTTCTTCCTTGCATCCATCCCTCTCTACTTAAACGCAAATCGTACCCCGATTCTATGTCACCAACCGTTCACAGTGGATCAGGAGTAAACACAATTCCGCTTGCAAACGCTGTTTCAGCATCAATTTCTCGGGTTTCTGCTGGGAATAATACCGCGGATCCTGCCAGTTCTTAGATTGAGTAAAGGTTCTCAGCTTCCCTTCTCGAAAAACCAAACCTCGATTATCATTGTACACTCTAGTCATCCCTTTAATTTATATTTATGCTGTTTTCCTCTTGTTTGTTTATTTTCGTCGTGTTCTCTATCTATTCTTTTTCTATGACTTGTGTATGTTCCTGTGCCTGTACCTGTATGTCTATTCTTAACTAGGTTTTTCTCTCCCTACCAAAGTGTACAATCCTGGATCATTCACTTACTCTATTCTTTTTAAATAGGCTTAATATGAGTTTGACCATTGACGATGTTTTGATTTTTGCGGATGCTTCGTGTATATTTTTTCGGAAAAGATTAACCAGTTTCTTCAGTATTCTCGAGTTGTTTGAATCGTAAGTCCTTTTGCTTCCATCATCAGTTCTATTAGCTTGCTTGCTTAAGTTTCTCCGTTTTGAGGTAACAAAGGTGTTAGTTTAAGTCGCAAACTCATAGTATTTCGTTTAGCAAGCTGACTTTCAATTTTTTATTCCTCATAGGTAAATGAGAAATGTTTCTTGCAACGTCTATGTCCTTTATTTTATTTCCTAGTGCTTTTTTAGTTATTTATCTCACAGCTTGTCAACAAGGCGTTTAGTACGTCGTTAGTCATTGTTTTTAAAAAAGCTCACGGTTTTTCCGCAATGAATTTGTGTATTGGCGATGAATTAACTTTCAACTAGAGTATATTTTTTATGAACATGCATTGGTTTCAATTTCCATTAGGCTTACTTGTTTCTTGCAGGTTTTATAAACGCAATTTATCATATGTTTACACCTATGCTGTGTGCTCGTTGGCAGGCTTACGCCGACTGTGCTTTTGTTTATCTGGCTTCTTATTGGCTATTCAATGAAAACGCTATTCCCTATGTATGGTAAAACAGTCGAGCATGTGTGTATTCCTAATGTTTTCATACGTTGGAACGGAACGGTGTCATCAATTCAGTTCTCTGTGCCACTTTGGACATTCATCTTGGGGCTGTGGGCTAGATAATTCCTTATGACCATAATTTGATTGACCAATGCATCGTATGTCCATTAAGTATGTGTTAACCTTTAAATTTGGTCTGTTTTTTGCTTGTAATAAATCTTTACCATTAAGTTAGTTCTTTTACTTACGAATTCATGGATGAAAGTTATCGTACACGATCTGAAATGGTCTCATTTGGTTGACACTATTACCAACTGATGAAATGGTAATCAGTCGAAATCTCAACTCTGTAAGAGTATATGAGGAATTCGGAGACACATTTGCCTGCCATTTGTAGGCCTTGACCCTTCTACAGGTGGGCTTTTTTACTGGAAGGATCGAAGAGGACATTGGACATTTCTATTCAAGTGGCATATTCGGAAAGTATTGCCAGGTGGTTCCTAGTAGATAAGTTATATGACTATTTTAGTAAATAGGAGCATATCTCCGCTAGTTAAAATTTCATTGACAATATTGCAAGAGGTGACTTTTTATTCTATTTTGGGAATGGCCCCTGTTTTCTCTGCAGTGATTAGAATGCTTGCAAGTTCTGTGAACATCATTTAATTCAATTTGGTTGGGTTCCTTAGTGAACAGGTTTAAAGCCACTTGACGTAGAGATTCGTTAACAACGAGGAGGATTACTTTATTAGTACAGAAGAAACTGCCTTATTGTATTTGCAGCAAGTTCTGTTGCCGCATTTCGGCTGCTTTGTGCAAGAATGAACTTTCCTTACTTCTAACATGCAAATACAAATTCCTATTTTACTGTATTATCCTCAGTCAATATCATTATCTACTAATGAATTGTGTACAAATTCTTAAAAGGAAGAAGAATTAAGTTTGTACTTAACAATGCAGCATGTATGAAAGGGTTACGTTGAGCAAATTGCGCATCCTTTTATTTGAATAACCCATTTCGCTTTGTATGGTTAACAAGTTGTTTGAATACTGGCTTGAAACATGAAACATCAAAACTCACAGTCCTCCAAGAGGTTTTAATGAGAAAATTGATTTTCGATGGAAATAAGTTGGGGAAAAACATGCTAGGCGATTGTCATTGTGGCGGGAGGGATAGCGCATAGGATATTGGGAGGACAATTAGACAAATCTGTTCGGACAACTAAAAGCTGACGTTTGAGAATTTCGTATGTCATTCGCTGTCGAATTTCCACCATATCAGTCTGGAAAGAAGGAAATAGTGTTAAGTTTTCAGAAATACTACTTCTTGAGGAATATGTGCANTGGGTGAGTGTTTAGGTTGAATGGCTTATGGAGCAAAGTCATAGACTTCAATTAACTGTAGATTACCCTGAGGGACCTGGCTAAAGTGAAAACATTGACAACTTTCCGTAGGTAGAATGAGAATTAAACAAAACCACTTACCTGATCAAAGATAAGATCGGCACCTCGAGAAAGGAATTCTGCTGTTGTAACCGCGAAAACACCACAGTCCCAGGTGTTTGTCTGCAAAGGAATCCTATCCTAAAATGGAAAATTGAAGTCGATCGGAACTTTTACTTCAGTCTTCTTAAATAGCAACCTGGGTGGCCAACTTACTTCCATATTCACCATTTGCCAAGAAGATTCATCTTCCTGAGACATCTTCTGCGTTTTTGCACTTTCTTCAACGAGATATCCCCTTAAAGGCAATTTGATAATTCAGTTGGGGGGGGGTAATTTAATTTAATAAATTAAACATGCAAATGTAAAGAGTAGTATACTCACATGATCCTTTTCAGGCACTCATCATTTCGATCATGCAATGAATCATAATAGGAGATAGTTTTCTTGCGGAAATCAATACACTAAAATAGAAATAATAAGTCATGCAAGGCGGAGCCATGGTAACCAATCCTTTTTATTAACCCCCGAAAATTTGTTAACTTGACCGAGGGCGTCGAATTAACTTGATTAGGTGCTATCATGAAAAGTCACTTCTCGAAAAGATGGAAACGACTAAAATTCTTTTTCAAAAACCCATTTTCGGTAGAACNCAGGCACTCATCATTTCGATCATGCAATGAATCATAATAGGAGATAGTTTTCTTGCGGAAATCAATACACTAAAATAGAAATAATAAGTCATGCAAGGCGGAGCCATGGTAACCAATCCTTTTTATTAACCCCCGAAAATTTGACCGAGGGCGTCGAATTAACTTGATTAGGTGCTATCATGAAAAGTCACTTCTCGAAAAGATGGAAACGACTAAAATTCTTTTTCAAAAACCCATTTTCGGTAGAACTCCTCCATGCTTGTTCGCTTTAACAGATGTGCTAGGAAAGAAGGGGAATGCTATGAGCTCAATGAATAATCTATCTCTTCGTCTCTTGATTTTTAATGCAATTATTTCCTAAATTAATGTTAGTCAACTGGAGCGAAAAGGTGGTAATCTGAGCTCCTATCAACGTGGAAATAGTCATTTTAGTGGGTAGCTAAACTTACAATAAGACACCAATGACTGTTCTCATGATGTATTGGAAGTAAGACCAAGTCTTGACTGAATATGTCCACCTTTGCCCATCGCTTGACACCCTCATAGCCAACGCTACAGAGCCTCTCGTAGAAGAAGGAGTTAAATGTATACACCTTGGGCATTTCGGGGATCTGTCTTGATCGACGTGAGATGAGCTCTAGGTAGAAATTCACTACCCCATCATTGAGCCAGGTCTTCCCTTTGAGTGTTGCAAGATGTTCTGGGAGCACTTTTGGTTTTTCCATTGTCAATTTTTTCAGGTTTTTTTGTTGATATGTCAAAGCTAAAACCAGATGAATCACTGAAGCACACCAAAGATAGATAGATAAACAATCGAATTATAAATGGAATCCTACTGATTAGGCCAGGCTTCTCAAAATAAGATCGCCTTCCATGAATGGGAGTTGGGTCATTTGTTGGTAAATCTAGAACAAAATTTCCTCCGCTCATTAAACAATTTTAATCTTAAATGGTGCATAATGATTTACTGCTCATGTCAAATAATAGGCTATTATAAATTCCGCAACGCAATTTCCAACTGAGAGTTTAATACCAAATTCTTTGCTCCTTGTATGATTCCAACTATAGAGGCTGTCGGTTAGGCGAAGCTGAGATGTAAGATTTCTTCTAAATGAAGTAACTGGCCATCCTCTTTCATCTACTGGCCTCAGAGGTAATTAGCTTTGCTTTCTTTCATTAAGTTCAAGATCTTGCCCGTAATTTTCTGAGCTTAAGAAATGGGAGCCATAGCATGATTCAATGAGCAGCTTAAATGGTGCTAGTGTTGACCGGATTTAGGCGTAAAAGTGGAGGCAGTTTCAGCTTACGATGACACAGGCTATATTTCTAGTGCGTTAGGAGAATTATTGATTGAATGGGTTTAGTTACTAAAATGACAATACTCTGACTACTGCCCACTTTAAAAGATCACACGACAGGATGACACGCAGAATAAAACCAGGAAGCCTCCCTAGGCGAACTACCTTCCCCGGTTTCTCAAAAGCCGAGCGGCCCTCTATTTCCTCAATCCCTCTTACACCCCCGCCCCCAACCCCCAGACATAAATCGGAAGTTGATCGTAATTATGCTACTTTATAGCATGATTTCGTTAGTTAAGAGGAAAATTTTTCAAAAAAATATAATATCAGTTATTCTATGAAAGGTTGAATATCACTAAAATTTCCCAAGTTAGTATATAATAGAGAGCATGAGTGATGGGATATTCGCTGTTTATAGAAAAGTATAGTGACTCTTCAAACATGTATTGAGATTTAAGTAATGAAACACACTATGAAGCAATAAGCCTATTTAATCCACCACTTTTCGTGTACGAGTAGAATCCTGTATTGGTAAAAAGTAATAGCAACACCGGGAATAGAATAGTTTCCATGACAAATTTTTGTTCCTAGCCTGAGGTAATTGAAACAGTGCAGACATAAGAGACTGTGCTCTTCTGCAAAGAAACGCCATTTGATTTTATGCGAAATCGCTTTAGAGGGTAAGGCAAAAAGTGTTGAGTGCCTACCTAGGAAGAGAATATTCTTTAGGTCGTAAAACTATTGATAAGACACATCATTATTTAAAATGGGAATATTTGACGAATAGAGGTTTCAACTATTTTCACGATCTGCGAGCCGATATCTAAGCTACGGAGAACACAAGTTATTGTTGTTCCAGTAAAAATTCTTACAGTCGAACTAGGACTGTAGTGGATTGTTATACTATTAAAGCCTGACTGACTAAGAAATCTCTGTGGCAGATTCCCCCCCCCCCCAGCTAAACTCCCAGGACTATCCAGCTACAGCCCGGCTATAGAGGAAACAGACGAATCGCACGGAACACGCTTATGCAAGAAGTATAATGTGAGTAAAGTGCACACGCCGTAAGTCTTAATCAGCATGGCGGATTCGCTTAAACAATCGAAAGCTTCTGATTGGCCATTATTTGGGCGCGCATGCGATCACACGTTATTCGATGTCGCGTCCCACAGAACGATGTACAGAATATGATAAATTGCTTTAATTCTCGTTTTTTCAAGTATAGGGGGGGGGGGGTGTGACAGACTTACCTCCACGTGGTGCACCCTGGGCAACGTATGCTCATACGGCAAAAAAGTCTATTACCTGGCAGTTGACTTTAAACTACCATGACCCCCACTGTATGTCGCATTCGACTCCTTTACAGTACTCATCCCACCCCTTTTCCACCTTATCTACCTTCGTCTATGATACACTCTTCTGTCCCCCCCCCCCCACCCTCTTGAATTTTTTACACTGACGTTCCTTCCCCTCTGTGAAGACTGAAGTCAACTAAAGGGCTAGTGATAACGATCGAAACGCCTGCCATTTGATATAAAAATAATAATAATTTCAAGTATAGGTAATATTTAAAAAAATAAAGGGTAAAAAAAATTAAATTAGGTTTGTTCAGGAAAAGTATCTAAAAATTTGCATCATTATATTTTGTACCGCCTCCTATTGAGGTAGATCAAACGCGTTAATCTTAATAAGGAGAAAAAAATAAATGGTTGCCTTTTAACTTGAGTCAATAAATTTTTCAATCGCCACACACCGATATCCGAAATATAGATATAGAGAAAACTTGTGATTGTTAAATTCAAACTATGTACAAAATAGCGTAATCTAAAGTAGTAGAATAATTATAGTTTAAATAATAATGGGAAAAAGATATAGGCAAAATACTAACGCTGTTAAGGAAGCATATTAAATGCTTATATATTTATCCGAATGATAAACGCATTGCTCTTAGGAAAATCACCATTGTTGTTCCGACAGAACACCGAGCGTTCCACTAAGCTCTCCTAGGTAATATCAGGTGACCCTTATGAAGCAATAAGCCATACTTGATATAATTACACTACTTATTTACATCTTAGTTAAAATGGTAGTAAAACCACACGAAAACTCCTTTCGCGAAGAGTGGAACATCAAAATACTATGATTTTTTTGACCAATGTGGTCGGTAACAATAAGACCATAAGAGCAATAACCAACTGTATTTCATATTCAATAGCCTTAGCATTATAAAAGATATATATATATATATATTGAGAAACTCGAATACAGGGGGAAGACAGCCAGGAAGAAATGAAGTAGACATAACCAAAGGGATTACGATGTGTCGGACAGACTTGTGCCGGTGTTTAAGAGCTGAACTGTCAAAATCTCGTAGATCATCCTCTGTCGAATTTCTGCCATATCGGACTAAAAGAGTGAAAAATTCTGGTAATACAAGTTCCTATTGAGCTTACGCTGGATAGGGAACTATATATATATATATTGCTACTAATTCCTCGCATGCCTAAGCTGCAAATCACGTTAAGAGACTTGTGCCTTCTTCTTAACAGGTTTGAGAAACCGCAATTGTAGTATAACAATAAAGAACAACCAAGAATATCAAAATCTCAGCACAAATAATATCGATAGATTATTGGCGCCATATCATTTTCCGTTTTAAAACGGAATTATTGAAGCGAAGAGAACTTACTTGCTCAAAAATAAGTTCCGCATCTCGCGAAAGGAACTCTGCAGTTGTCAACGTGAACACACCACAGTCTGAGCCGTTTTTCTGGGAAGGCATCTGTCCCTACAAAACCAAATTATACAATTCAGAGCTGTATAAAAACATCTTACCTGGCCAGTTAAGTAGATCACTCACCTCCATATTCTTTTTCTTCCAGGACTGGATATCTTCAAGTGGCTTGCTTCGCTTGTCTCGACTTTCTGCATCAAGGTAATGTCTAAAACAATAAATGCGCAATTCAGGGGATGGGATTTCGTAAATTAAAAATCAAAATAAGTAATACACTCACAAGATTCTATCTAGACACTGATCATTACGACCATGTAATGAGTCATAATAGGAGATAGTTTTCGCGCGAAAATCAACACACTAAGACAAAAGTAGCGGTAGGTAAATTATGGCTAAATGGATGAAGCATAGATTGCTAAATACTATTCCAAATTTCATCTTAGAGATTTAGGCATTTATTCACTAATTTAACGTTACAAATTTAGTACGGATCATTAAGTGAGAAAACAGGCTTACAGTAAGACACCAGTGCATGCCTCTGTCGTGTACAGGAATGAGAACCAAATCTTGACTGAAGAGATCCACCGACTTTGTCCACCGTCTAACACCAGAGTAATCGGCAGATACGAATTGAGGATAGAAGAAAGAATTAAAGGCATGGACTTTAAGCATTTCTGGGCACTGACGGGACCGATGCGAAATGAGTTGAAGGTAGAAATTGACAACAATGTCATTTAGCCATGTATTCCCAGTGAGTGTGGTGATATCGCGCAGTGTTACCTTTAGTCTGAAGCGTTTACTATGTACAAGAACTGCATTCAAGTCACCGGAGGCCTTTTCAAAAAATTGTTTTACCTCTGCTTTTTGTTTACTTGTTAATGCTAAAAGACGAGGTAAGATGTTGTTACTCATCAAATATAAGTAGTGCTTTGTTGAAATAATAATAGTAGAACATAAGTAGAACGTAATCGTTGTAATCTGAATCGATGACATGATAAATTTGACGGTGCTCACTTGTTAGACCAGGTTTCCCAGTCTCTCTGTGAGGAAGTACTTTGGGAATAGGGACTGGCTTCAAATATGGATCAGGAAGCACAGGAGGTGATTGCATTAGACAAGACATCCTCTGCTCAATGTTACGCATATATTGTTCCAGTGCAATCTCTCTCTTCAAAGAATACAAACAAGAAAGTCAATTAAAACGTAAAATATAATATTACTGATGCGAAAGGATGAGAAAATTCAAGGAAAAGGTAAACAGATAAATGATTAGGATTATCTAGATTGGATCAAATTAAGAAATTTAGATATCTTAAAGGTCTAGAGAACCCCATTTAATATAGCAAATGAAGTCTTAGAAACACAGTCAATAAAACCCTTTCATCACTAATCAATATTCACATCTGACAAAATTTATAATGACTTCCTGAATCTCATAGTACATCAATGTTGTTTATTCAAAATAAGAATTTCAATCTTTCAAAAGGGGTTTGAATTCTCCCATTCTATCCCGATTTTGCAGACATAATACCCGGCTCAACGTATTATTGAGGAAATATCCTTACTGATCACATTTATTATAACAATTTCTTGACATATAAATAAATAATTATCGCAATAAGATCTGAAGTTAAGCTAAGTACCTTCCTTACCTGATTTTCATAGAACTTAGTTTTGGCCTCCAGCTCAATTCGCTCGCCATCATTGTATGTAGAGGAAGAGAACTTGGCGATCCAATCAGAACTGAGGTAGGCAGTATTGCTAACCTTATTACACCACATCTCAGCGGCTTTGTCTCCATCTGTCGGAGTAATAACCAACTTTGCGGACTCTGTGGATGGCAACAACACGGATTCAGACGTTCTCGCAACTGAAAAGAACAGAGATAAGAGGGAATGAAAGAAAGCAAACCAAAATTAACAGTAGACAAACGTATCAATGTTCAAGAGATATAGAGTAGGCCGCTTTAATATTAGTCACATGCGCCCTAAATACTCCAGCAGGATATATAAATAGGTTGGGAAGAAAACGCTAATTGAAAAACAGGCAGCTCCATCGATCATCCACTTTCAAGAACTTTAAAGCAAAATAAGTGGTGAACTGAAGAATACCTCCAGTCTGAACCATCGCGTTGAATCAAAGTGATCTCACGTTGAGACAAATTGCGAACAGAGGAGACAAACATCACTAAATTACTAACCCGATTGAAATATAAATGAGCAATGGTAACAAATACAGGAATTTTATACTACGATGAGGTGTCGAAATCCCATCGATTTAACATAAATAACCACTTTTAAATAGGCGAAAGGGATGGAGAAAAATCCTACTTTAATTAACATAAAGTACAAAATGAAATAAAACTTAAATAATTTTAATAAAAAGTTAAAAGAAATAAATCACAAGCAAATAATTCATTACATTAAGAAGTAATGGAGAAATACAATTATAATATCACGTACTTGGACTTGTAAACTGAAGATTTCTAAAAATGAATGGTTGATAATTTAACAAACTTAGTAAATTAAATATTCAGACAATAAAAAACCTACCCTAAAACCTTCGTATTTTTTCCAGCTTTTGATTCTGAAGAGGTCACCAATCCAGACTTAGCTCGTTGCAACATTTTTCGATAATCATCTAAACTTAAATTGTGAGGAGAATTTTCAGGAGTGAAGGTAGACTTTCTGAACTTCTTGATGACATCAACACCCTAAATACAAAATTTAACTTAAAACCATTATGAAATATGAATTTTGAACAATAAAGATAAGACTTACAGGAGAAACTACAAATGAAATATCTGGAACTGCAACTGATTCCGGAGGTACAAAAATATTTTCTGTTTCCATTCTGTCAAATAGCTTAGAGTAAACCGATGATGAAGTTAGGTCAAGTCTAAAATGGGAAAAGTTACAATAATCACGGTTTTAAAAGATGAAGTTAGGAAAAAATTTTACATACTTAGGAATCTTAGCCGGTAGATTGTAATGCATATTTCCTGCTTTACGATGGTCCTTGGTGTTTTGTGGTGTTGAAGTTGAGTTAATATCATTATTATTAAAAGAATTCATGTGAAGAAGCATCACAAATTTCACAGAATACAGACTAGCCCACTTAAGGGTGTGATTTAATGGGCTATACGATCTCCACATGAACCATTGAAAATTCAACTTTAGATTTATGAAATTACATCATTATTAGTATGTTCTCTTTATCTCAAAAAATAAAGGCTTTATTTGACCTAAATTTTATTTAATTTTAATTCTACTTTCATTGTTTTGTTCGACTTCATTATTATTTGATTTGCATTTAAGTTCAATTTTTGCACATATTTGAAAAGCAATTGTACATTAGAAACATCATATCAGATTAAAAAAATTAATTTATAAGTTTATCTGTGTTTTATTTATTTATTACACTTTAAAAGGGGTTGACTATCTACAATGAAATAGATAGTTTTAAATGCACCACCATTTCTAGCTGTTAACTATCTTTACTCATCTCATTTAATTTATTATCCACATTGTTCATGGTAACTAATAATAATGATTTTATCAAAGTTTGTATAAAAGTTTTATTTAAATCTCGCACTTTGACATTAAAAGGTCCAAATGGAATTTATAGCCGCGAAACTTAATACCAAAAAGTGTATTAAGGGAAATTTGGTATTTCGATTTTCTATTATTCGGGATTAATCTCTATTTCCTTTATGTCTTTTTCATTGTTTAATATTACAATGGTCATAGTGATTTAATTTAGAGCAAACTTCGCCGAAACTTCTATTCCACTAAGAAAAGAAGCTGTAGAATTATTTTAATTCGTTGAAAATTCTAGAAAGCTGCCCATTTATTCTGTAAGGGGTGTAAATTTTGACTTTTACCCTTTCTGCATCTATTATATTATTAACTATTTGATTCATTTGAATTCCAATTTCTATTAATGAATTTTCATGTTTCGATATTGAAAAGATTATATCGATTTGATAGCTATAAATTTGTTCAAAAGCCAGCTGAGCACTGCCCGGAAGGGTTGTCGTTTCATTCTTTAGTCAAAACATTTGAAGTCTATGACATTTCCCTTTTTTCACAAAGGCATGAACTCAAATATGTGGGATCCCGGAATATGCAGTAACTAAACGCCTACTCTGAATAAACTAGGATTAAAGGAGCACAGCTGATGAATATATATATCGTTAAGGGAATATCGCTAAGAAACCTCACATCCCACGCCATTTACTTTTAAAATTGTTTTCTCCATTGATGCGCTGCAGTACTAGTAAACTTACCTTATTTCACTCCCCAACTTTTGGCGCGTATGTGGGGTGTATTTTGTAAAACAGAGCAAATGGAGAAGGGAAGAATAAAGCACTTAATTTCATAAATTATTGCCAATTCCCGAATTTCTTCACCTAGTTAAGGATGCAATTAATAAACAATATGTATATATTATTGACACGGTTCAAACCAAATCAATTTATTTCGGACTAGGTAGCGCAAAATCCTGAATCAAAAGTATCATCTTCTCCATGTAGTGCTTTGATAATTCGTTCCTTAATTTCTTGGATAATACACTCGGGCATTAATTGTATTCCCAAATTCAATAATGGTTCAACTAGTTCCTTTGGATCCACGTCATCTGGTTCCCTAAATTCTTCCCTAATTTTCTGTCCGTAGTAAACTCGATGACCGCTGGCCGTGTTGGCCTTTAACCATTTGACACATTCATCAAATATACGTTTGTTCCAGCCGCATTCTTCAAGCTTTTCGGGCAGGTAATTTTTAATTATTTGCCTAATTCCTTTCGTCTTCAAGATTTCGGACGCATGATCGACAATCACTTCGTCTAATTTCTTGTTACAAATTCCTCCACACAGTGGAAAATTGACCTCATCTTCTTTGTTCATTTCGAAAGGCTAAGTACCTCAAAAAATCAATTTAATTCAAGTCACCCAACACCCCGCATGCTTTAATTGATTATTTACGATAACTTAAACATCTACAAAGGAGTTTAAAAAGTATAAATTTATCAGTTCCTAGAGAAGGAACAATAAAAAACTCATGTAAGCACAAAACTGTGGGAAAAACACAAGGGCCTTTTAAGCCGAAAAGGCATGTTTTGACAATTCAGTTAGATCGCCTTTGTCAGAGTGTTCGCTTGTTGGGAGAACCCAAAAACGTAGGAAGGCCATCTTTCGCACCCAGAAGAAGAGCATGACAGAGCAGACTACGAAAGGTGTCAAAGTCAATGTTGCAATCAAAGCGCCGTAGGTATGGTTCACTAAATGTGTGAATTGGTTAATGAAATTAAAAGAGATATTGTAACATCTTGTTAAAATGCTACATTGCATAAAGTTATATTATAAGTGCACTTCCGGTAACGTTAATAGTAAATAACACTTAACTTGAAGCAACGAAATATTACTAGAGACACATTATCGTTTATGCACTATTGTTGAAAAATTATGCTATGTGTTTGTGTTCACTTTTAAGTGAATGCTTACCCTTCAAAGCATAACTGAGGCTTGTGCTTTTATACTAAAATCTTTCCAGCTACTTGCAATCCCCCCCCCCCCCCCACAGGGGTGTGCGATTAACTTACCTTCACGTGGTGCACCCTGGGCAACGTATACTCATACGGCAAAAAGGTCTATAAATCGGCAGTTTACTTCTGCCTTCAAATTCCCATGACCCGACTGTATATCATATTCCAGCACTTCACAGTACTCATCTTACCTTCTTCTCTACCTTTGTATCTGTCTCTTTTACATCTGCGAATCACTATTCTGTTTCCTCTCTCGACTTTTTGTGACTTTGATGTTCCTCCCCTCTTTGAGGCCCGAAGTCAGCTAAAGGGCCAATGATAACTATCAAAATGCCTACCGTTTGATATAAATAATACCCCTACTCATCTAATCTGCAACTCCTCATCTCCTTTTACCGTGAGCATAAACGAGTTCGCCTCTTCAATTAGTTCCCTCGATAGATGGTGGCAATTGGTTGTTTAATTTATACTTTTATATTTGAATATCATATCTAACTCCGAAATAAGTTGCCTCAATCAAATTTAGGGGAAAATGAATAGAAACGAGTCAATAATATGGTTGAAAAGAGGAGGTTATTGCGGTAATGAAATTCAATATTTAAAATTATATTCAAATAGAAATGCAGAGGAATGGAAGTTGGACGACATAAGGTAAATGTTGAAATGGTAGATAAAATCGGTGAATGTTATATTTCTTTAAACACATCCTTTTTCAACTTATTGCTTGTCTCATTTAAAGCTACATCTCTACTCGACCCCCCCCCCTCCCCCCCAAGGGGGTCAAACAAACTCTGCTTATCCTTATCCGTCCATACTCCTTCCACTCATCTCCTCCCCTCCTCAGATTTCCCTCTTCAGGCACCATCGCACTCTACCTAATATAATTTGCCCAACGCGTTTCCTTGAACCTTATTTTTTGAAACTGGCCTCTGTTGGTGTAAGCTACAAGTTATAGCCTTAAGTTCTACCACCTGGTTCTGATTTCCACAATTTACTAACTCCTAAATTAGTGATCTCGATGCCTGTAATTCGAACTCCAACAACCTGGTGGCCCTTTCTGACCTACACTGTCAAAACGACCTCCTTACTCCCAACATCGTAGAAATTGCACTGTTTTTCCTCTAGGGACAGTTGTACTAGAAAACAAGTGGAACTCACGTGCTTCCACAATGGCCTAGCATCAGAAGTGCAAAATTCGTATATGATGTTCTTAAAACTCGCCTTCGAGACCTCACGAGGACCTCAATTTTGCCATCTTGGAGCACATGAAAGAACCTAAACTAGAATATGCCAAGTAGCTCCACGATGAGCTAATAAATGGACACACTGAATGGTTGCAGCCACAAAAGGAGATAATATAGAAGCAGATAATCCTTGAGGTTGTCAATGATAATTTTTCTTTCACAATAATTACCCATAAACGGAATTGATTAGAGAGCGGTTCGGTACTTAGAGTCATATTGTATATCACCGAGAAGAAATAGAGTTATTGCAAAAGGAAACCGAGGTGAAATTGTAGAAGCAAGCGATTTGATAATGTTAATGGCTTGGTTCATGAATTGCTTCGAAAGATGAATTTCAAAACATCAAAAAAGCAATTTAGGTAATAATGAATGCATTAATAATGATGACAAAATTTTGGGCTTTTATGATTTAGTTGAAACAGATACCATCAACAGACGAACAGGATATGTAAATTTCCCATTCAGAAGGCCTCCTAGGTGTAGATGTTGGAGCATTCCACTGGCCGTTTTACCGATCTGCTAACAGTAATCTTGACTTGATTAAGTTACAGTTCTAACCCCCTTAAATCTTAGCGCAGTTTTACCTAAATATAAAGTTAATCAGTGTATATATTTGAAGTTCAACAGTGTGATTGGCCGAATTATGATAGCTTTAATATCAGGAAGGGGATAAAAGGAGATGCTGTGGGTCTAAATTTGGATATACTTATCGGTACCAGAGTCCAGCTACTGATATACTTGGTGGTACATCCACTATGGCTAAAATAAACTTGACCCCTAATATCTTTGTAAAGCAGAATGTCCTAGTAAATCACACGACATGCTACAAATAGGCTTTTGAGGGCTTCTGTTCAGAATAACACGAGATTGAGCGGTAATGTCACCGAGATTATATAGCATGATTTCGTTAAGGAAGCAAGTTTGGTGTGTTAGGATGACTAATAATAGAGAGAGAGCTTAATTTGTTTGCTTGGACGGGCCAACTAGGAGCTGTATATGGGATGTTGTTCAGAGACCAGTTGCATAGAAACAGAGGCGTCGTTTGATGGGGTGATCCATACTCTGCTGGCCTTGTAACGACGGTAGTAGAAGAGTAAAGCCAATGCTGCTATCGTAGCAGGCAGGATTATCAAACAGCCCACAAAGAAGCCCGATCTGAAGCTATCTGGAACAACCAAAAACCCACACCCTCTTTTTAGACTCATCTTAACCAGTTAGCTTAATGTTAATAAAGTCTTTATATATTTTGAGACTTCAAAATGAAAATAAATGCCCCCTTTTAATATTATTACCATTAGTATCAACTTATTTACAGTAAAATGTGCACCCCCAGGTTGCGAAATAAGATAAAATTAGGCCAATCTAGCCCCCACGCCTATCAATGGACTAACCTCCAACGTATGGCGTCTTGTTACATATGTCAATGCGTGAGCAATTACAACCTCTGTCTTGTTTCGCTTCTCTCGCCTATAACTCAACCTATAAATGAATGTTTGCAGCTCCACTCTAACGCTCACATAATTGGCCCGCAGGCTATCCTTCTATCTACTCCCGGTAGCCTTGCCTATGAGCCTAGAATAAATTATGCAATTATGGCAAGCGGGGCTTTGATATCAGTCTATATTTCGAGGAGTGTGTGGGGATGATTTGATTCATGGGTTTCAATAGTTGACTTCATCAACACTCAGCTATGAAAGAAATGTGCTGATTTGGGGGCTTTCTTAAAAGTTACTTTTAATGAGAATATTGGGATTAATATGTGGGGCTTTAACCTTGTTGAATAGTAAAACAGTGAAGATAGCTATAATCTTTTTATAACTAATTGATCTCAAGTGGGAAGGAAGGGGCTCCACATGTTAACGCTTTTAAGTCAAAGTACTAAGATAGTTGCACTTCAAAGAGATCGATCTCATCGAAAACACAGCAAGTAAATATGGTTCCAAATAAGACGCCATAATTGGCATAATGGCAACAACACGCTCGTGTTTACCTTATTTAGAGAAGCAAGTACAGCTTAAATATAAATCATTTAATTCTATTAGACGCAGAAATCGGCCCTCTAATAATTAATTTCGTTTATGAAATAATTTCTTTGGGGGGGGGGGAATTTTTAACGTATAGACAAGCATGGATTTAACAAAAATTTTGAAATAGCAAATTCGGTGGCATTTCTATATTTGAAGTTGAGCATACGTGACTAGTAGACTTACAATAGCAAACGCGTCCTGGAAGCCTTTTAAGAAGGTCTCCACCATCAGTGTAGAGTCTGTTGCAGCGACATTCATAGCTTTGGCCAACAGATGAGCAAGTTGCAGAGGGCGAGCAGTCGTGCATGTCACTTTGGCAAGTATCAAAATCTAAAAGACAACATAACTAGCACATTCGTAAGACCTCACACCTCTCCCCGTTTAATAGTGATTTATTTTGAGAAATCTCAAGCCCAAGTCGGTACACAAGGAAACGAGACTTTGGGAGGCAACAAAAATCCAGTCAAGTTGACCACTTTTGCTTTCAATTTGTTTGGATTCATATAAATTTTGCTAATTAAGTTACAATTTAGAGATAAAATGTGGCAGGTATAAAACTAAAAATGGGATCGATTCCACCTCGATCAAATGCATGGCTCCTTCCATTATTAAATGAATGAAATCTGGTTAGGGAAATGTGAGATTATGTAGAACCCGAGAAAGTAAAGTACAAGCATTCGGACCTGAGAATCAATACTGCAATTTCCCAATAGGCGACTTTTATTTTCCTGTTACAACTTGGGGGTATGCAGCCCAAATTCCCAAACTAAGCAAAGCAAAGCAAAGTTAATGAAAACTCGTGTTGTGGAAAATTGTGGTTCCCAAAACGGAATCTCGAACTTTCACTTCCCACCTCTCTGAGCACAGTAAGATTTAAGGCTAAGCTCGACATATCAAAATCGGATCCTCTAATGAAATGGACTTAATAATAGCACATTGTATATATATTTTGTCTAGAAGAATTCAGGAGGACTATATTATTATGACTGAGCCAATCAACAAAATTTTCTCCACTTTCTGAAGCTACTTCCTATTTACATCTATTTTGTGAAAATGAGATCCTATATACAAATATTTTTATAAAAAATATTGAACTTAAACATTAACTAAAACAAATATTTTCCTCAAACCCGACTACGAATAGTGAAATATGAATTTTAGAAAATGGACTTCTTACTTTGTAAATATTTTAAACCCTAGTGCTGAAAATCAAATAAAGGAAGACTTACTAGTGACTACGATAGTCTTATCAACATCGAAATCGCCTCCAACTAAATCGGGAAAATTTGGTGCCGTTTCAAGATGTCTTCTCACATTTGCAGCACTGAAGGCGGTTTCATTGTTACCGGGGTCGAATTTTAGCAAGACCCTTACCCTTACTCCCTCAATTCCACCTATCTTAGTACTCTCGAAGTGTTTCAGATTGCAGTCAGTTATGGTAGTCTTTAGAACCGGGTCAGGGCCACTTAGCGCTGAAGCGAATAGCTGAAAGGCATTAAACCAGATTTTAGAGCAACTTATGTCATAAATTTAAAGAGTGGAATATTCACACTTCAAAATCCCAGACATAAATTTTATCAATGACATGGTAATAAAAAGTATATCAAAATGATATATAGTTATTAATTATTACTCTTCATAGCCAAGATATTTTGTGAGCAATATATTGAACAACTCTGATATTCTAAATTGGGAAGTAAAGAAACATTTCTTTGGTGAATCAACACTTGGATGTTCATAATTTCCATAGTGGTGTTTCACTCAGGTCATTCAAAGCGTCTAGATTCGTCGTCTGAGTCATGAAGATGAAGATGAAGGGGGGGGGTGTCTTTAAAGAGGCTTCGATCCGAAGTGCACCTTAAATTACGGCTTAGAAACCAGAAACTGAACGATTGAAAGGTTTTTTGCTATAATGCACTGCATAATAGTTCTCAATGAAGTTGGAAACTCCTATCTCAAAATTAATGCACTTTCCCATGTTAATGCAACGGTGCTAAATACATCTACTAGATCTTGTCTGTAGCAACGCGGAATAACCGCTTATGGTTAAATCAATAGTTTGAATGTTGTGAGCATAATCTCATTTAAATATCGGAAAACTTCTCATTGAACCATTTTATTATAAGTAAAATGCCTTATTAAATAAAATATATATTATTCATTTCTGCTTTATTTCCCTGACACTTTTATTAATGTACGTTCGTAAATTGTAACATTGTAAATAAAGTCCTTTTTTGGTGTCAATTTGACGTATATGGTTGGTCTCAGTTAGTGCTGTGGAGAAGACAACACTGTCATCGATGAACCAAGGAATCTCATGCGCCCTCGAACATGGCTATTGATCCCGTAGCCATCAAGTGCGGCCGTGTTGCTGATTGCGTTAGGGAACATTTGCGTCATGAGCGCCGAGACCTCTCATCCAAACAATAGTCACTGCATGGT